TGAGGCCTTCCATAGCGGGTCATCAGAGTCTATCATATCCTTTGGGATAGGGCCTAGCCCCCCCCCATGTGTCTTAGCTCAGGGAGTATCCCTCTATGTGGAATGGGCTCCCAAAGTCCACATCTATGCTAGGGATAAGTACTGAACTCCTACAGGAGGTCCCATAGATTTCCAAGTCTCCTCACTGAAACCCACGTTCCTGGGGTCTAGATCAGTCCCATACTGGTTTACTAGCTATCAGTCTGGGGAGCAAGAGCTCCCCATTGTTCAGGTCAGCTGTTTCTGTGGGTAGAGTAGGGGGGAAGAATAGAAGAAAACAAGAAAGGACATACCATAATAGAGGGAGACATTTAGGTTTACAGTGAAATCAGGCACTAGGGAAATCTCTGGAGATCTACAAAGATGACACCAACTAACAATCTAAACAACAGAGGAGAGGCTATGCCCTCCTGATAATGAGATTGATGAGATTGGTCACATTTCAAATGATCATAGCTGTCATTTGCGGATCACATAAGCTTTCTGACTGATGTTCCCCACACTTATGTTCATCAGATCGTCACAACTGTTAGAGTGAGATGGGTGTTACTATTCCCATCTTACAAGTTCCAGAACTGAGATATATGGAGGTAAAATGACTGTTTTTTATTATGCCCATTTTGAGACATAAAGCCAGGGTTTGAATTCGGACTTAGAACCTGGTTTGCCTTAATGTGGGAAATTACCAATATGGAGCCAGGTAAAAATACAGGGGAATTTAATAGGGAAAAGCCTTACTTACAGAGCGACCTAGCCAGCCTGCAGGGCAGCAGTCCTTACAGCAAGCCGAAAACGAAAGTGAAAGCAGAGACGCCTCACTCTTAAACTTTCCCTACATCACCCTGACTATGCCCTCAAAGGTGTGGTCAGGCACACCTGTAGCCAGCCCCTAAGCAGGCGTGGCTACAGCATCCCTACATTTCCTGTCTCCAAGTTTTAACCTGGTTTCTGATTAGTCGAGAGGCTTTTAAAAATACGGTACCTATGCGTGGTCACAACACATGGACACTGAAGAAAGCAGATTTAAGCTATAATCTTATTTTATGCAACCCACGTCTGTCCATGGCATCTAAAGTGATGCTATCCTTTACAAAGCAGTCTCATGGTGCCATGTCGAGCCGGGGGCACTCTTATGCTCCCCAGAATTCTGACACAGGAACTGCAGAGCGTTCAAGTCTGACCATTCTTCTGCATCTTGACAGAACCCCTGACCTCAAAGAGATTAACTCTAATATGGGGTTGGCTGGTTGTCCTCCAAGGAGTAGGAAACCAAAATGGAAGGGTGCCAAGAACACTCAGAGGAACAGAGGTGCTGCACAAACCACTTTATTTGGGCAATAAAAACCCAGGAATGTTGCTATATATATACAATGGAACGAACATTCAAAGCAAACTAACATATGGTTCTTTGTTACCATTTTTGAAAACCAGTATGCAAAAGAGAAAACAAGCTTTGCTCTTGATTTTTGCAATAAACTTTGAAAATCTCTGCCGCCAATGCAAAGAATGTTTAACCGGAGTTGTGCACTGAAGGCCGCATCTCCCTGGAGCCTCCCTCCCTCTCCTATCTCCTAATCCTCATTTCCGGGAGGTCATTTTAATTAGCAGGCTGTCATGGTGACTCAGCCTGCTGCTCCCTTCCACAGACAGGAAGGGAGTAGACTCCCCTGGACCCATTCATCACACAAAGGCACTTTAAGCTTCAGGAAAACACACTATTTGGCTTGCTTCGCCTTGGGAATTGCTTCAGCTGTCATTTTCTTTTATCACTCCTACCTGCCTAGGGTGCATTCCTTTGTCTCTTGCAGTCCCCTTAGCTGGTAGTCGCCCTGTCCTCAGTGCAGATTATCAGTGCTCACCTCCTTGATCCTTGTCACTAGGGACTGCAGACCTTAGCCACAGTAGTTCTTCAGAGCGAATGAGCAATGCTTTTTGTCTGGGGAGCCAGAGTTTCGATTAAACTACCCAGGAAGTTGAAAAATGGCTTTCAGAACAGCTTTCTGAAGTTGCATGCTGGGGCTTGAGGGAGCGAGAGAGCAGGAGGCTTATAGATACAGCAGTCATGTTTCTAAACCCGCTCTGCTTTTCAAAACCCTATTGTTCACAACAGCCGGCTTGCCTTTGGCTTGTGTGTGGCTGTTGCTTTGGATCAGAACATATGGAGACTACATTCCTAAACTAGAAACAATTGCAACCTGTGTCAAGTGAAGTCACCTGTGTAGTGACTATACAACTTAAAAAAGGTGAAGAAGGGCATACAGGGAACCGATCTGAGATCTGTGGTAGCTCTTGAGAGGGGTGTGTAGGTTTTCCTCAGTGCCATGGAAGACAAAGTCTGTGCTTACCTGGCTCCACTTTCCTACTCCACTCAGCCTTGAGTTGAAGGCTCACAATTCATTTCCCATTGGTAAAAGGGAAAAATAAATGATGAAATTTCTCTCTTTCCCCCCTCCCTTTCACAAGCATATGTATTATGCTGAGAACCCCATCTTGAAAGCCAGGGAGTGGCACTTAATTTTGTGCCCCAACATGAAAGGCATGTTCCTGCCCCCACAATAACTCCAGGTGTCATGTCTTTAAAAGGGGGTTGAAGGATCTTTGTGGTTCATTGAGCTCTTCTTGTCCCCTCTGCTGCCGGGGACATTGCTGGTTGAGCCCCGCAGGGATGGGTGCTTGTAAGGAGGGGGGTTTTCTTTCCTGTAAAAGGGAAACAACAGAAAGAGAAGACAGCCCATATACATGCTGCAATGAGTTCACCTGTGTGCATATCCATCTCCCTCACTGGACAGGGACCTTATAGGGACAGTGGCCTTGCCATCTTCTTCTCTGTGTCCCCAGAACCCAGTCCACATCTGGTTTAAAGCAGTCATAGTAGCTCAATGAACGTCTGTAGGATGGATGACTGGCCAGCCAATGGATGGATGTCTGTAGGATGGATGAGTGGATGACTGCATGCATTGCTTCATTCTAGGCCCACAATTCCAATCTGCTATCTTGCCATTTGCATTGCAACTAATTCAACACATTACACATGAGAAAGGAATGGGAACACACGCACACACACACACACACACACACACACACACACACACACTTTGGAAATTTGGAAGGAGGCCAATGGGATTTCGCTGCCTATGGGCTTGGAATATCACTTTTGAATGAGAGGGAGAGAGGAGGAAGAAAGAGGAGAGAAGAGGAAAGGAGAAGGGAGGAGAGGAGAGCAGAGGAGGGCAGAGGGCAATTAGGGGGCTGGGACATCATTGTCATTCCCTGTATGGCCAAGGACTTCAGAATCCCAGTTTTATTGTTCAGCCTCATCACAGCAATTATAATGTCTGTCTTCCTAGCATGCTTGGAGACCTCAGACAGCAGAAGTGTGTCTGTTTTACCTCTATGTCTCCACATCCAGCACCCAGCACCCAGCATCCAGCACCCAGCACCCAGCACCTAACACCCAACACCCAACACCCTAATCTTACCACCATCATTCAGTGGTTTTTGTTCATATAAGAGATAATGAGCCCCTGTGAAGTGGGAACTGATTTTATTCACTGTTGCATTTTACCTTATCTGGTGCCTTATTTGTTATATTTTTGACTGACAAATTGATTTATGTAGTCACTGAAGTTAAGATTTATTCCAGGTGGGAAGATTGGTCTTAATTTTAAGGCCCAAAGAACTGCTGTGAATTCCCAAGTTGGATGATTTCAGAATATGGCCTTGGGCAAGAAACTGAACTTCTCTTAACTTCATTTGTACAATGAGAATAAACTATTCCAGTCTTCCAGTAGTGTCGTGAAGTTAACTCAGAGAACATGATTGAGCACCCCAGGAGGCTTCCCTTCCCTGCTGTAATTTGTTGACTGTGGCCCCAGAGACTCTGGACATGTCAAAGATAACAACAGACATTGATGCTGTCCTCAACTTGTTTAGGTTTAATGGAGACCATAAGTGCAAAACAACCCCTCCATTTGAAGATTACAACATGAAGTCAGAAGTGGTGAATGCTAGAAATAGCAATGGAGTGGGCTGTTTGAATTAGGGTATGCCTTGTGGCCACTGTGCTCTGACCTTGGCACAACTGATTTTATTCCTGGTTGATGGATCACAAACCACATGGAGATGGAGTAGGTGTCAGTACACACACAAAGGACACCTGGCCTGGACATTACCCCCACCCCAGTCTCAGTGCCTGAAAACACATATTCCTTGAAGATCTGGCCAACATGAGGAGACTGTCTAGTGCAGGTGAGATGAGTCTAGATCCTATGCCCCTTAACACTCTAGTCTTACAAAGCTCAAACTTGAACTGACGCCTACAGACTGTGTGAGCTTTTCAAGCTTGTTTGGTTGCAGCACAAGCAATGGAAGTCAGGTCCTCACACATACAAGTCAGTTGCTATAATCATATCCCCAGCCCTGAGACAGTATGACCTTAAAGGAGTCCATCCCTTCCCAGATATAAGGATCTATTTATTTTCCAGAAAGGAGAAGAATGCTTGGTTTTTCCTGCCTTGTAGACTCTGGTGAAAAAAGAGTTGGAGAAGAGGTACTTAGACTAAAAGGTGCCATCCATCCATAGGTCACTGTGAAGAGTAGTTCTTCACACCTCAAAGGATCACAGGACACAAACAGATATGGTTACATAGGACAAAGACTGACGTGAGGTCCCTAGAGAGATGGACTTGGATTTATTGCTACAGACAAAGCTATAAGTAGATGGTGTCATGGGAATAAGTTGTGCAAGGGCTGCAGAGGAGTATGAGAATGCAGAAACAACTTATGGGGTGGCTGGGAAGGCGAAGCATCACCGAAATAAAAGAGGGGTTACAGAGAAGGAAAGGAGGCCCTAAACAGCAGATAGCTCATACCTCTGTTTCTGTCTCTATTTCTTTAGACTCATCTGCTTTGGAAGCCAACTTTTTCAAGGCTTCTACAGCTCTGTGGACACCATTTAACACCTATGCCTCCACTTCCTGGGAGGCTGCACATCTATATATGTCACAGAACTTTGAGTTTGATGTGTTTGATTTTATTCGGTAATTCCCAAGTCAGGCTTGGTGTGGAGCAGGTACTTCTGGGGTGAGCGGTAAGTGGAAATGGACTTTGAGTCTTGAATGTTTACCAACACATCATCACTTCTCTGACCACATTGGTCTTAACCATTGCTTCAGGCTTTGTTTGGCCGTGCTTTTTGCTGCCTTCCCCAACTTGGGATAGCATCATTTTCTTTCTATTCCATCAATCTTCATGTCCTTAAAAAAAACAAAACAAACAAACAAACAAACAAACAAGTCCCAATCTCACTTTCTCCCTGAAGCCTTCTTGGGATGTGCCTGTCAAGTACTGCCCAGGTTGTGTGTGGAAGTAATAACATCTGGTTGTCACCTTTCCATAGGACAAAAAGCTTACGGGAGATGGTGTGTGTGAACACCCCTGCCCAGTTCTACCACTGTATATTCAGCTGACTTCACAGCTTATCTAGGCCTTAACATTTACAAGATCTGCACTAAGCACTAGGGATTCAGGAATAAGACTGTCCAGTGGTGAAGCCAGACCTGCAGAGATGCCAGTCAAGACACCATAGGGAGTATGCATGAAATGCAAGTAGGAGCCCAGATGAGGACATAGCTCTATCTTAAGCAGGAAGAGGGGCAGGAGAACAGAATGTGACATTTAGATAAAGTTTTAATGAGCTAGTAGGGAATCAGCACCTACAAAATGAAAGGGATAAAGGGAAAGGATGAACAAGTTATAGGAGCATAAAAATGGACAGCATGTTCAGGCTGATGCATAGGGCAGCAAGTGGGTGAAAGCAGGTATTCCCAAGGTCAAGGACATTGTAAGAGGCAGCATAGGTATTCCCAAGGTCAAGGGTATGATAAGTGGCAGGATATCAAATTAAAAATATTGGTTAAGGTCTTGGGTAGCAAGAAGAGGAGTTGGAATATTCCTATGAAGGTAATGGGGAGCCATGACGGTTTGTGAGTATGTGAGTATCTGATGTGGTTGTGTATGTTTATGTGCACTGTTAAGTGTTGTTAGATTTTGCATGTTATCAGCTGAAGTTCCCAATGGACTGATGCTATCTACACCACTCTAGGACTCATCACAGGCCTAGCACAGGATCTTCTCCTTATATACATATATCCTGATGTCACTACGCAGCAGCCAATGCTCCTGGCCTGTAGCAGAACCTGAGTCTACCTGGTCAAGGTCATTTTACCTCCAGGTTAATGCTCTGCCCACCTACTGAAGTATTCTTGGTCCATTTATTTTATCCCCTTTGGTTTTAGCTTTATGGCTGTGACACAAGGGTTAAAAATAAGTGTAAGGTCTAAGCTTTCCTGACCAAGTCTGAGCCTGAGCTCCCAAGCCCACATTGCTGCCTCTCCCCGGGACTTCTTCCAGAGGGGCAGCCTGGCACCCCAGAATGCCAACAGGCTTCTACCACCATGTGAGTAGAAAGTGACATCTGGCAATTATCCATAGAAATGGGAGAAAACAAAGATTAATTTTGAGTCAAAACATGTAATTTTCCTTTACAACCAGAACTGCTCTTTCACTTAAGCTATTTGATGCTTGGGTGGAAAATAGTACAAAAGGGGGGAAGCATTCAAATTCAAGTAGGAGCCTATAGTCCTGGGAATTCATTCTTAAAGGGTTACTTACCGATCTGGGGTTGAGTGCAGCTCACAGTGGCTCACCCAGGCTCAGAAGGAGGGGAATGGGGTAGATAGGGAGCTAATTTGGCTTTCCTAATTTAAAAGTGGATGCATTCTCCTCAACTCCACAAGTCTGTGGCCTAGTGAGGAAAGAAGTCTTTGCTGACAAGGACCTCAAACCTCAGGGTCAGGAATGCTGTGAACAGTTAAAAGCAGAGGCTCCTGGAAGGAAAACTTTGCTGCATCATTCTCACTCAGTGTTGAGCACCCTCCCAATCTGGAAGAACCTCTCCTGATTGAGGTTGAGTACCCCACAGAGGGGTCAGGCCTTGGGCTCTAATCCTAACTCCAACTCTGGACCTTGACACCCCTTCTGTTCCTTAGGTCTCAAGGTCCTCTCTTGCCATGCTCGCTGATGTCACCCCAGACTGTTAGGACTACTTCACTGATCTGTGACCATGACACATATAAGGAAAAAAAAAAAAGCTGTGAAGGATGAAGGTAATTTTTATGCAGGTTGACAGAGGACCCAAAAGAGATAATCCCTAAATTAACTTGTAAATGAGACGCTAAAAATTCTTTTGAGTTTTTACAAAGCTTTAAATGTTTAAGAACTTTAGCCAATCAAGAGTGACTTCTAAGAATGAATTAAGCATTTTCTTCTGGAGGTGAGTTCCTCAAAGGCGGGGTCATACCTTAATCCCCAATTCATTCCATCCATCCCTCCCACCAGAGCCTATGCAATGTACTGTCTTCCCTAGATATATGAGTGATGGAATTCGTGGGTGTATTCATGCAAGGATGTGTGGGACAGGCTGTTACTGCAAGGGGATAGAGAAGAAACATCATGTAGGGGTTTTTAATACCCCAGAATGGTGGACATAAAAGTCCCCAGATGCGCTGTTCCCAATCTGAGACAGGGTGTCATTGGAGCACGCAGCCATGAAGACTGTGTGAATCAGGCCTTACAGAAGTCCCACTCACTGAATTATGGTGCCTGAGCCAGCCCAATCAGGGAAGTCACGGGGCTTGTCACAGGCTATTATAAGCTGGCAGAAATCAGAAACTCCGAAAACATTTGGGGGCATCTCCTGTATGCTAGGCATTGTTCTAAGCTAGTGCCTAACCACATTAAGTTGTTATTATTTCTGTTTAACAGGTAAGTGTAGAAAGGTTTAAAGAGGCTAAGAAACTTGCCTAAAATCCCATCACTCATGAGAGCCTAAGACAGTCCTCTGAATGAGCTCTATTGCAGTAGACTTCAGATGGTTTTGAAATATGGAACCCTATCTTGTGTAGGGTTCCTATAGACCCTGTGACTTTGGGCAATCTTCTGTTCCTTTCTGGGTCTCATTTTCTTTTCTTTTCTTTCTTTTTTTTTTTTTTTTTTTGAGATAGGGTTTCTCTGTATTGCTTTGGAGTCTGTCCTGGAACTTGTTCTATAGACCAGACTGACCTCAAACTCATAGGGATCTGCCTGCCTCTGCCTCCCAAGTGCTGGGATTAAAGATGTGAGTCACCAATGCCCAGCCTGGGTCTCCTTCTCTCAAAGTGCAATACGAGACATATATAGACTAAATAAGATGATATACACAAAGTACTTCATGCAATAGGCAACACTGACTTAAAATTTTTATTATTAATAATAGATGATGGAGGAAGAATCATTGTGCTAAGTTCCGGAGGCACCAAAGAACATAGTGAACATCAGTGGAAAGAATGGTCTGGCAGGAGTATAGAGTTGGACACTGCCATGTCATTCCAGGAGCCTGGACCACTAGGAGAACAGGAGATGAGGCCCAGAGGTAGGGCAGTGCTAGCACATTCCAGATGCCACTGCCCAGATGCTCAGTGAGTGCTCTACCAACACACACAGGAACTCCCAGGACTTACAGCTACTGTTCAGCCCTCAGACATGATGGGTGTTCCCATCCCAGTCTTCTCTCCTCCTTGGATCTACAAGTGGGTCCATCAGAGGAGCCAGATGGGACTTCTTAAGGGTGTGTCCTCTTTAGCCCAAACATTCAAGTGTTAAGGGAAGGGGGCCATCATAGACTGATGGGATACTCATACACCTGGTACTAGTGTTAAAATGTAAAGCCCACAATAACCTGAAAAAATGTGTACAACAGTGCCTGCTTTACAGGTTAGGGGACTGAAAATTGCAATTCATTTAGGAACCTTAAAGAATGAGTGATCATGCGTTGTAGAATATATAAACTGCCAGGCTAACTTAGATCAGTGGCTGACTGTGGCTCCCGGCAATGCCCCATCCCTGGAGATTCCTATGATGGGTCTAGAATGAGATGGTCCACCATGCATGTCTGTACTGTTATGTAGACTGCAGATTGGAGCTCAGAGATACAGTTTACTGCATTGTAGAAAGTGGACCCTGAGCCATCATTCAGCCTGATCAACCTGATGAGTCAAGGTACTTGCTTGCCCAGGACCATGGGAAGCTGGTTGGCAATCTGGGCTGACATCCCAGAAACTGGAGGAGATGAAGCTTCATGGATGCCTGTGCTTAGGAAACACACCTCCTGGACCCATACTGATCCTTGTGACAGAGCTTGGGTTTGCCTTCCTGTGGCACAGGTAGGAAACTGAGGGGCATCAGAAAGCTAGGAGAAGCTTCCCTGAATACAGACCCAGGGAAGCAGGACTTGAGTCTGATTTCTTGGCTCTACCACTTACCGAAGCCTTGGCATGGGGACCGTAATCTTCTCAACCAAGGGATTCAAGCGGTAATAATCTAGAAATGTTCTTGCCACATTCCTCCCCAGCTTCATATCTGCAGGTGTGTGTTAAGAAACATCTCTGAAAAGAGGTCCAGCAGGGTGGAAAGAGGCCTAGTTATAAAAAATAAAAAGTGCAAATAAAGCAGTGATAAAGATGGTGTCACCCTCCCCCACCCCACTCTGGGGTTTTGGCAAGCATTGTCTTCTTGGCCCTCACAAAATCTTCAGTGATAATTACAATCCTCATTTTACAGACAAGAGAGTGAAAGGCACAGAACAGAAGGAGGGGAGTGGGAATTGGGGTCTAAGTAACCATACCCCAACATCTGTGTACCTAGTATTTAGGAATACTGGATTTTTTAGTCAGGCCTCAAGTAGTCCAGAATGAATCCCAATGAGCAAGAATCAAGGCCAAGAGCCCTTTGCTGCATATTGAGCAGGGTTTGCCTGACCCTCAAGGACCAGGCATCTCTCTTGAGAGTAATCTCAGAAAATCTCTCTGCCTCTATATAGAATCCCATTTCCCCTTGCTATTTGACAAATAATGAATCTCTAGGGAATAGATTTGTAGCATATGTATCAAATTATAAATTCCACAGGGAAGGAGAAAGCTCCAGTTCTATACTGGTATTAACATCCTGAGATCAATTAACACAACAATTGTGTATCTGCCTTATGCACTATATCGACATCTCTGATGTTCTCTGCCATTTCCTTTGTCTGCAGGACCTCCCTAATTCTCTCTTAGCTAATATATGTCGTGGGTTCTCCAATTAGCCACCACCTCTTCATTCGATTTCCCCGGATCTCCTGTGCTGTTGTCCCAGGGCTGAGAGTGTTGTCCTTGCTCCCCACCACCGTGGCTTTAGAACTGACCTCATTCAGAGTGTGTGCTACTTCTCACAGGGTGGAAACAGTGTTTACTCACAATGGTTCTTCCACCCCACCCTCATCAGCTACAAACACCCAAGCTGCCAACCTTCTCCATGAGTCTTCTCATCCCTTGACTTTGTCCACTCTTTCCATGCTCCCAAAATAGGTCAGCATCACCTTCCTGCTGGACAACTGCCATCCTGTTCTCTGGGCCTCCTGTCCCAGAATAACCCTTTATAGGATGTTTTCAACAGTGAAGTCAGGGGATGGATTCTCTGTCTCAGACCCAAGATTGTTACTCAGTGACTAAAACCCTTCAGTGTCTTCCAGTTGCTGTTCATAACTTGGCCTCTTATTGTGTTCTCAGTTCTCCTCTTGCTACCTTCCACCTCCCACCCTTTTGCATTTCCTACTCTTCCAATCCTGTAACTCCTAGGTCTTTATTCACCATGCATCCCATTTTACCACCATGCCAAGTGTGCCTTATGGGATCAGATTTGTCTCAGCCTCCAGACCTCCATCCAGTTATCACTTTAATGGGTATATCTTCCATGGTGCCTTTGCTTGGATAGGGTCTTCCTAGGTTTTCCATGGTATCTTTGTATAGTTCTTGGCCAGACTACTCAGCAATATTGCATTTCAACCAGCCCCTCTTTTCAACAGCCCCTCTAGCTCATACAACCTATGAGAAAGATGCCACCTTTGCTTGACTCAATCGTCTAAATACCTATGCGCTTGCTGGGCTGTAGCATGAGAAAACATGAAGAATGTCACCCAATAGCTAAGCAGTATTTAGTATGTGCTAGGCAATCTCATCACAATCCAATGAGGGCGGTTTGTTATTGTTCCTATTACTTAGACAAAGTAAGTGACTTCTTCGAAGGCTAGATACCTTATAAATACTGGAGTTGGGTTAAACCCAGGCCTTGCTTCTCTGGGACCTACACCATTTCACATTTGTATCTATCTTTCTCCTACCTAATAAACCATCTGGAACCCAGTGGAGAATATTTGCAGCCCTGACCCAGGAATACATGGAGCTGAGACATGCAGGGTGATGTGCACAGAAGGAGCACCCTGTGGCTGCTAGTCCAAGGGAATCTCTGAAGAAGGGCTGCTCCTACCTGGACTATAAAGACAGGACAGCTGAAGAGGCCTTCAGAAGGCCATAGGAAGAGTGCAGAAATGGTTTTCCATTCACACATGCATCTAATCAATATTTTCTTTGTCTTTCTTGGGCTGTGATAGGCAAAGGAACTTATCCAATGCTACATAGCTGATAATGGTAGAATCAGAAGTCAAATCCAGGCAGGTCTGATTCCAGACTATGAGTTTCCACTGCCCTGGGCTGTTTCTCAACTTGAAGGCACCTTTTCTGTCAAAGCCCGAGTCATCCCAGGTCAGAATGTGGTGGGAGGAGGAGAAACAGCAGGCCCCGTGTTTCTGACAGCGAGCTGCACTGCAGGCTTGCTGTGCTCTGGGGCTGCTACCTGCTTTCTTTCTTTGGATGTGTCTGACCTTCTCTGTCCCCTTCTCTGAAAAGCCCACAAGCGGGCACTGAGCATGGCCTTTCTGACTAGCAGCCCCCAGAGGCTGTCTCCTGGCAGGAGGCCTGCAGAGACAAGGTGGCTGCTTGAACCCAGACAGTGTCTAGTTGGCTCAGAGAGACCAAATTGTGGATGTGTGTGTTGAAAGGAATAGCTGCAGGGCATGGGAGAAATGAGAGGTCCCTGTGGACTGAGCTGGTAAGCTTCAGCAGACATTTTTGGAAGCAGATGTGTCTAGCCCAAATCCTGGTTCTGCCACATGCTATGGATAGTGGATTTTAATTTCCAAAGATGTCTGCCACATTGTCTCTGGTCTCGAATGCTCTTCTAATATGACCTTGATACTCCTTCCTCTGAAAAGCATAGTCTGTGTTCTTTCCCCTTGACTTTTAACTGGCTTCTAACCAAAAGAATGGCACAAGTGAAAGTGACATTGTGAGACTTGTGTGGCAAGGTCAGATAAAGCAAAGCAAAGCGACTGAATCCTGTATTTTGAAGTACTCAAGCTAGGGTCCCAGGCTTACAGAAAAGCAAACAGACCACCCAAAAGTCCTGGGACTGTGCAAAGAAGCAGAGGATAGACTCTTGGTCAGCTTTTACTTCTATAGTCCTCTGTCATTCCAGCCTCAGTCACTTTTTACCTACAACTCAATCAGACTCTTCCTAAGACCCTCCCACTGAGACTCATACAAATGTCTGACCCACAGAGAACCTGAAAGGATAGCATTGTTTTAAGTCACAAATTCTAGAGCAAGAGTGTTTAAAACAGAAACAGAGAACTAGACACTGAGTGACCTTTCACAAGCCACTCCATCTCCCTGAACCTTCATGTCTTTGTAAAACACCTGCTTCACAGATTGGCTGGGCTGCAGTGTGTGGCTAGATGTAGTTGATGAGTAGCACAGAGCTGATTGAAGGATGGATGGATGGATGGGTGGATGGATGGATGGATGGATGGATGGATGAGGGAGAGAGAAGCCTCATCTCTCCCTGAGTGTTTATATTGAGAGCCAGACTTGAGGTACCACAGAAGTAGTTGCCTTCCTCACCAACACCTTTGAAGATCTACAAAGGAATTGGGTTGTTCTTCAAAACTGAAGCTAATCATTTTGAGTGGGCTCTGTTGAAAACACAGTTCTAAAGGTGAGTCTTGTCTAGGACAGACCTCTTTCCCTTCCCTCCACTAGCCACAAAGCCTTATTCACTCCAGATTATTTCCTATACTGGCCCTGATTGAGTGAAGGAGCAGGACAAAGGTGAAGGAGAATAGAGATTGATTGAACATTTTCAATTAAAACAAGATGTCTTAGCAGAAAGATTTAAGATCCAGGTAAGGGGAAGCAATAACTTTCTTGGCTGGACCTTTTTCAATATATTGCAGTATTAAGAGAGGAAAAACTGGGGTGAAATCTCTCAGCCATTCATTATCCACCAAAATCTTGCGATAGTCTGCATGCTAAAAGTTTTTCCATTTGCAAGTTTAAGCCATTGGTCTGTTTCTCACAGACAGCAGGGAATGGTCAGCCACCAGGGCAGGTGGGGCTGAGAGCCTGAAGTGCTAAGGATGAAGGATGGATTCAGCTTGGGTGGTTGGAAATTTAGACTAATCCAGGGACTTACCAAGAATATTCTTGGTCCCAACCTCCTAATTCATGAAGCTTTTTAACAGGTGATAAGAGTTAAATGTATTCTGTGATTTTTCATCCATCCATCCATTCATCCATCCATCCATTTGTTGGGGTCTTCCTTGGGGTTAGTTGAAGATGAATTAGAGAAATCTACATTCAAGTCTAGAGGAGGAAAACAGCCTACCCCAGTTAACTATATCACCAAGCAGGTGGTTAGTTAGACTGTTGCCTTGACAAAAGCAGCTAGTAGCATGTGCTCTGTGCAATACAGTTACTGTTTACTACAGCTCAAAAAAGACCAAAGCACGAGTCTACATGTATTGCACAGATAAGAAAACAGTAATCAGGGTTTATGTTATTAACCCAGAGTCTCATTCTTTGAAAGTGATAGAGGCAGAATCAAACCCCAGGATCTTCTCAGCATGTGTGTGCTGTCTCTTCTCTAGAATGTGATAAAAAAAAATCCAAGCACAAAATTCTCTCACCATGTAAAGGGAGACTGAATCTCAAATGGAGAAATTGTGAAAGGCTTCATGGGGGCAGATGTGTAACTAAATTCCAAAGGACAAAGACAACCCTAAAAGGGGAGAAAGGGGACTGATAATGCAGGCCAATAGCAGATCATTTGCCTAGCAAGGCCCAGTGTTCAACCTTTTCTACTTCCAAAATAAAGGAGGAGTGGTGGAGGCACATGTCAGGAAAGGCACGAGTGAGGCAAGGGACCATGACCTGACATGAAAGACAGTAGGGAATATTGAAATCTCACAAAACTGAAGTGTGGAGTGGAAGATAAGACTGTGATGCAGCAGGGGCCAGGCTCATCAAGTCTTTAACTGAAAAATTAAGGACTGAAACTCCTTTTCTGAGTGCTAGAGAGATGGCTATGTTGCTAAGAGCACTGGCTGCTCTTCAAGAGGACCAGGTCAGAATCTTAGTACCCATCCAGTGGCTCAGTCCCAGGTCTTGGTGATATGATGCCCTCTCTGGCCTCTGTGGGCACTGCAG